GTCGAAACGGAAGGAGCGTGTGTGCACCGTATACGAAGCTAGCGCCTTGTTGGTCGCGCTTCCATGGCCTGGCTTTCCTGATCCGCTGCACCCCACCGTAAACATTCGCCTCAGGAGTTTCACTACCAACGCTTTGGGTTTCCGGCTCCAGCTCTCCAACCTCACCCGCCTTCGATTCGTACACTCGCTATACGACGCTTTGTTATCGTCTTCTCGTCCATGCACTGCCGCTGCTGATCGCCCGGGTTCCGTCGCCCCTGCCAGCTCATCGGCGCAGCTTCCTCTGACGCCTGTTTCACTCCCAGCAGGCTTACCCTCGCTCGCCGTAGTACACTCTTCAGCTGTGCCCCAACGCATTCCACAACAGACTGCTCCGACCTACGCTCACCCACCGCACCCCCGACGCCGCCCACGAAACTACTGCCACGCCCACACATTCCATTGGAGACCGCCACCGGCCCATCTTTGCGACACCATCTTAAGACGATCGCGTTGAGACGCAGGCTGGAGGGTGAACATGAAGAGGGGGACGTCATGATGGCCGTTACCACCTCGCGCGATGACGCGCTGCGGCTGCCTGAGTCCGAACAGCTCACGATACCCTCGATACGACCCACACAGACGCCCCCACGATCGAGACGGAAAGCATCTACGTTGCCGGCCCTGCGCGCATTCTTCCCCCTTCTCGTCTTCCTCGCCATAGCCTCCTTCCTGCCAATCGCAAGCGCCGTATTCGTAAACTTTGAAGATTGCCTGACACGGGTCTACCTGGCCGACGGCAAGCAAACGCCCTACCTCCGCTTCACCCCCGAATACGTCTGGGCCGACTTCAGTCCGGATCACACTCTTAATGTCACCGTATACGGCAATGTCTCGGGTCAGGCCCAGCTTGGTGACTACCCACCATTGAACGACGACAATTGGAAGGACCCGAATATGACGTTTGGCAAGATTGTGAACCTCGCTCCGAACCACAAGCACTACACTACTCTGTTCTGGAACAACAAGGTCCTGACCTACAACGCATACAACGCGCCCGCCGCCCAGTTTTGTCAGTCCGTACTGAACACAAGCTGCCCGGTGGCTCCATCCTTCGGTGGGAACTTGAGCGAATTCTGGACCTTACCAGCTGTCAGTGTCGCACACAACTTCGGTAGCTCGTACGCATTCTCGACTTGGGCCTCGACACTGCGCATCGTTTCTGGTGACGACAATGCACAGGCTCTCGGCTGCATTTCTGCAAACATCACACCAGACCTCGGCAAAAAATTATCCGACGCGATATGCTACCTTCCGGCTGCCGTGCTCGCCCTCGTGGCTATTGCAACCGTGTTCGCGGCGACCTGCAGCCCATGGGGAACGTCAAACATCTTCCGCTGGACCAGTAACTATGGTCGAGATGAGGACCTGCTGCGGCTGGTCACGCCAGGATTTGGAGATTGTTTGCAGTACATCCAGTTCATCGTCTTGGCAGGAAGTCTCAGCCTGAACTACCCTGGTTACTTCCAGCCCGTCGTCAGCCAGGCCAGTTGGTCGTTACTCCTGTTTAATCAGAGTTTCGTCAGTCAAGGCAACGGCTCCCAGAGTCTTGTTGACGGCATCTACTTTGCTAACGGAACCTACGGCCTGAACCGCCTGGGTCAGTACGTTGGGATGAGTAGAGAGCGTGATATATGGGCGTGCATGGCCATCTTCCTACTCGTTCTGATAGCCTGTGTGATTGTGCTTACCCAGCTCGGCTTCTTTATACGCTGGCTCTTCCGCTGGATTACCAACACGCAAGATGGTGATCTGACTGGGAAGAACTGGTCTTTCACCGCCGGCAACATCATCCGTGTCGTGTACAACTACTTCATGCTTCCGATTATAGCGCTGTCCCTGTTCCAACTCGTAGTCGGTCCACGCTCGCCGGCTTCCGTCGTCTCCTCAGCCGTCATCATGCTGATCATCGTCGCCGGATCAGTTACCTGGATATTCTGGTTTATCTTCACCACACGCCCTCGTGCTCATTTGTTTGACGACCTCCCTACTGTCTTGACCTATGGACCACTCTACAATACCTACTCGGATGATGCCGCTCCATTCTCTTTCATCCCTGTCCTGCTCACTATCATCCGTGGCATCGCTATCGGCGCTATTCAACCGTCTGGCATCGCGCAAATCATCATACTTGCTATATGCGAAGTTATTCTGATCCTTACTCTACATGCCTTCCGGCCGTTCCAGTCGAATACTTCGATGAATGCGTACCATACCTTCTTCGCCACAATCAGACTCATCTGCGTCCTTCTTTCGGTAGCTTTCGTACCTTCCCTCGACGTGGATGAAGCACCCAAAGGCTGGATCGGATACATCATCCTGTTACTACACGCTATCGTGTTGGTCTTCGGCTTCTTCCTGAACGCTCTTCAGACAATCATCGAAGTTTCTGCCCGACTTGGTGGCGTAGGTGCGGACCAGCGAGGTGGTCTTACCGCGGTCTTTGGAAAGCGACAACTGTCGAAACGTAACGTTCATCGAAACACTCGTGGTAGTCTGAACTCGAACGCTGCCATGTTGTCACACGATGAGAACAAGAACATACAGCTCATGAACAGTCGATCTCGAAGTATGTCTGCCAGTTCAGCCGTGCTGTTGAATGGGCCTTATGACCGAGACAGCCAACGGGCAAGTGTTGGATTTGACGGCTTCAGTCAGGGCGACTACGGAAATGTCAGTCCAACTCCAGGATCGGGTCCGGTGCCCTTCACTTTCTTAGGTGGTGGGTCTTCTGGCCAGAGCTCTCGCCGACCAACGATGGGCACCATGGAGGCCGCGGATCCATACTATCGACCTCCACGCCCTCGCAAGCATACGATGGATTCTCTAACCGCAGCTGCACCAGGCAAGGCGCCTCTGGGGAGTGCAGACATTGTGGACGCCCCCTACTCGGACAATCTGGACACTGAAGCTATCAAAGCCGGTGAAGGCCCGTCGCGTACTTCCGGCACACCTGCTCCAGCCTATCTGCGGTTGAATCGAGACGACTCGGACCCAAATCTTGATAGAAGGAACAACAACAATACCGACTATTCCGTGCGCGAGTCAGACTTTTACTATGGACTTCGTGGCCCTGCTTTGTCTTCTCAACCTACGCGAAAGCTGAAGACAGGGCCTGCGGATCCAATGAGTCCTGTCTCGTCGGCTACAGGTTGGTTCAAGAGCTTGAACCTATTGGGTGGGCGGAAGAAGGAAAAGAGCAAGGGATTTGAAGTGGTCAGAAGTACACGAATACCACCGCAGATGATGGCCGTGGAAGAAGACGCTGAGTCGCCAGCAGTCGTGCAGGAGCCATATCGGGACAGTCCTGAGTCACCTCCGCGAGCTCGGAACGCATCAGGAGGGTCAGGCGTAGCGACAGCGGCTGCCTTGGCTGGAGGGAGACGAGACTCTTCCGATAGCGACTCAGACACGAGTGACGAGGAACGAGATTACGATCCAGGCAATCGGATTTCGCCTATTGCACCGGCTCTGGGACCCATTGAGAGTTTTGGCGGAATCGAGCTGCCCAGTAGAATTGGGTCGCGTGCTTCCCGCGTTACGCAACCACCAGGACCTCCAAGTCGCGTGCCATCAATACCGCGCAAGAACTCACGTCGTACGAAGTCGACGGAAGCTGCTCTCCTCCCAGAACGGCTGTCGACTGTTATGGACGTGCCGACGTCAGTGAGTCCGAGCAGTCAAAGACGCAGTCAGCACCTGCAACCGGGCGGACCTGGAGGCCTTCCCATTCGCTTACCCTTTGGATCGACCGAACCTTCACCAGAGCGCTCGCCTGGGCCATCAGCAGCATCGAGCATATACCGTAATGACGGTGTCAGTGAACTGAATGCGCCTCCAGCGATTGGTGGAACGTCGGAGCGTCCTCTCAGCACTGGTGTTGTCCAGCACCATGTGACGAAAGACAGCGTCCAACGTGACGTGTATGACGCGGGAAGTCATCTTGAGGCTTCAGCGGAGATTGTGGACCGCAGTCGCAGTGGCAGCACCCAACACAGTGGGCGCAGCTACCACAGATGAAAAAGTCATTTCATTAATGTCTGTTTTCCCGTATACCATATTGGGATTGATAGATTCCCATTTTAATCTTGATCTTGGCGCCCAACGTGCGCTTACGAGTTTCCTTACTGTATAGTTGTGCAAAAGCGATTTTGATGGCGTTGGTTGGGATACACGAGCGATGGGCTCTTTTGGGCGTAGACGGGGCCACTACATACTTCTTGATACTTTCTATATACATAAGCGGAACGGAGTGCACAGGCACGAGTAGTAACGTACAATAGTAATTCCAGTCAATCCACGACTAGTCATGGCAGAGGGACACTCCAAAGTTTTGGCACGTGAAGAGGGCCGACGAAGACGCGGCGACGCACCGTTGTTCTCTCGCAAGGCTAAGGCAGGCATGGCGGCGCAGATGGTCGCGTGAAACCGCTAAGATAACGGCATAGTGGCGCCTGAGGCATTCCAACATTTGCCGGCCACGCTTAGAAGCCACGGCTCTCTGCTCACCAGTACGTGTCGCGTTGTGCGCTACTTGTCGCCTGACTCTTCTCTGATCTATCTTCTGGACTTTGCACCTTCACGAGCGGCGCATACAGCAGCGTGGTTGGAGTTCCCCTCGCCGAGCCGACGCGCAGGACCCACCCACCTCCGGCCTCTACACCGCAACCCAGCGCTGCGCGACTTACAGGCGGGTGAAAGATAGCTGCCCTGTGGCTCCAGGCTGACTGGAACGAGCAGCGCTATCCACGCTCCGAGTGCCAAAGCCCACACGCGACGCAGACGCCCAAGCAAGTGGCGGCATGTCGCCGTGAGCCGGCCGACCTTCTCTACGAAGAGCACCCCTCCCGTTCACCATCACATAAGCCGTTGCTCACTCGCGCGTGAATTTGACGCTGTTGGCCTCTGTTGGCTCGCTCCCTCCGCTTTCGGTCGCGTCGATCCGTCACAAGCTCTCCCAAATGCCTCCGAACGCCAATCAACGCCCGAGTGGACCCTATTCACACCACTCGCACGCATACGGCGGTCAATATGACGGAGCAAGCAGCACCATAGACGGGCCACGCGAGGCTGTTATGGGCAGCAACTCCCGACACCATTCACAGGGCGTTGTCGCATCACACTTCCTGGCCCAGGACCGCGAAACATGGATGGACTTCCTGAGAGACGGTACCGAATCCACTGCCAACCAGCAACCACCGACTGCACATAGCAACCCCGCTGCCGCCACCGAAGCTCGCTCGAACCCTTCCCCGTCACGATACACCCTCCCAAACCGCCCCTCGCAACGCACCGACTCGTCCTCCTCCCGCAGCTCAGACCGCAAGCGACGTCTCACAACCGCCGACTCGCCCATGAGGCGGCCGTCGAGCATACGCATGCACTCGGAAAGCGCGGGCGACTCGAGTGCGGATCCCATCATGTTGGACTCGTCGCCTGCCTCCATCCGCGCATTACCTCCCACCCCGCCCGTCACATCACAAGCGAACACAGGCACCATGAGGAGACAAAGTGATATTGTGCTGCCGCCATGGCAGCCGGACAACGAAGTGTCTCAGTGTCCGGTGTGCAAGAAGCCCTTTACATTCTTACTTAGGAGGCATCATTGCAGGTACGTACCGCCAGACCTATCGTCGCAGTCGTGTCAGCCATCGGACGTTTGAGGTCATGTGCCTCGTCTGCTTAGAAACCTACAAGTTGCGCCCGTCTGGACTGTTTACTGACAACAAGAACAGGAAATGCGGGAGGGTCGTGTGCGCTTCATGCTCGCCACATCGTATTACTATTCCACGCCAGTTCATCGTGCATCCGCCGTCCGAGAATATAGCAAACTTCGTCGATCTGACAGGAGAAGACGAGAGCGCCATGTCAACTTTCGGCCCGTTCCGCAACCCAGCGCTAGGCGGAGGCGAGGAAGTCCGCGTCTGCAATCCTTGTGTACCTGATCCAAACTTCAGCCCACCTCCACGATACGATTCACTCGGTCATGGCTCTCGGCCCATCCCACCCCGATCTTCACAGGTCCCACCTCCACCACCCCCACATCCTCGCCCACACAGATCGTCGTCCAGCGTACATGATGCTTCGCGCGGCGCAGGCCAGAGCCATGCATATGGCACACGCGACCCCACAAACGAGAGCAATCAAAGTAGGAGAGTGAGCTATCATGCGGGCTCGCATATGGGAGAGCGGCGGCTGCCACCTCTCCCGCCATCTGCTATCGAGCAGCAACACCCACATCACCGCGCACCTCTCATTTCCCAAACCGTAGCTAACAACCGGGCCCGCAACGCACAAAACCGTGTGAACTTCGGGTACGGATCTTTCTCGGGGACCAGTCCTTTCAGCCAAGCCATGTCAACCCCTGTACCGCCTCCACTTCAACCTCAAAATGCCCAGCCAACCCGGCCTCGCCGCCAAATCCCTGAGGAAGACGAATGTCCCATCTGTGGCGAGGAGCTTCCTCCCCAAGGCCCTGACAACGACGATTCGGACCGCACCCAGCACATTGAAGAATGTATCGCCCTACACTCCGCTTCTCCAGGCCCAACAGCTGCACTCACGCCGCAAACATCTGCCAGCCTACCCACTCAACGCACCCGCGGTATGAGCAGTGCAGGTAATGGTGAAGGCGCCAGTAACGCAAATCGAATGAGCCATGCTGCGCGTGGAATGTTTCCGTACGTCGCGACTGAGAAGGACTGTGTTGATGAAGAGGGCAGACAGGCCGAGTGCACGATTTGTCTGGAAGACTTTGAATCTGGGGACAAGATGGCTAGGTTGGTTTGCTGGTGCAAGTTCCATGAGGTTTGTCTTTCCTTTTCCCAGTACGATGGGCCCAAGGTGCTAACATGTGTCTCAGACTTGTATCAAGGAGTGGTGGGATAAGAAAGGCCGGGGTGCTTGCCCCACGCACCAGTTGCAGGAGTAGCTGTGTGGTTATATCGATGACATCGACTGTTGCATATCCCACCGGTAGATACACTTGGCGCACCGCAGACTCTTGGGATTAGGAGCTTTCCTTTATCGGCGTTTTTGGTATACCCCTATCCTTCTTTATCATCATAGGCATTATCCTTGGTTTCGAGTGTCTTTGCATTTATAGACTCACTCTTCGTTCCTGATATGGGAGTATAGAAGAATATGGCATAGCAGTATTACTACACTCAATACACCGAAAACAAGCCCCATGGTGGGAAGCAACCTGAGGCTTTGGTTACTACAGTGATGGTCGTTATAACCTCAATCTTGCTGTTTCCATGGAGTCATCCATTTCCCTGCGGTCGTGAAGATTCGATAATTGATGTTTCCTGCATCGAGCTTGTGAGGAATTGTCAAGAAGCATTACCAGGGACGTCACTTTTGGGTTCAAGTGCGATCACCAGAAGACGTCGGCGGCGTCTATTGCGACTTCCTGCAGGCACCGGACTAGGGTGATGGAAGTGGGTCTTAAGGCTAGTCCCACGAGGCTGGTAAGGCGAGTCGAGTAACGATCCTCGACCCACTCCCAACATCGCATCTCAGCGCGTCACGTCGCCTAGTCTCCAGCCTCCGAACTTCTTTTGTGGCAGCCACATCTCGCGACTTCATCTCGACACAACAACCATGTTGACGCAGCTTCCTTCATTCCGTACTCAAAACCGGCTAATGACGCGTAAGCAAGTCCCATGCTACCCGCGCGAACGCGCCTCAGAACTCGGTCGTCCTTTGCTAGCTCTATGGGTGTGGAACTCAGCATCCAGCCCATTAAACAAATGTTTCCGCTTCTGGAGTGTTGCATCTTGAGAGTGATGGATCTGCCGTAGGTCGAGGCGAATTCGCATTCGCGCAGGCGTTGGCTACAAATGAGGAAGCGGTGAGTAGGGCAGCCGCTGATGTAGTAACAAGACTATTAGTCAAACCTAGAATTTAGCTCTCTTGTTGTATACCCCGAGGCCATCGTAGAGGCGACAAACATATTCGCCGACACTAGATGAATAGCGCCGTCGTCCCGTCTTCGGTCCGCTTCATCTAAGACCTCTGATCGCTTGTACCAAAGTCACATCGTTTTTCTTTCCCGCACCACATCCCTCTCGTTTTCTTCCCCAAGACCCTCTGCCACCATGGTACAATTACAGCGGCTAGGTTTATTGACTGTGGCGCCCGGTCTCCTTTCCTTGGCTACCGCCAATGAATACGATTACGACGTGCTCGTGGTCGGTGGAGGCTCCAGTGGCACTCACGCTGCCATCCGGCTGCAGCAGTCTGAAAAATCGGTTGCGCTCGTTGAGAAAGAGTGCCGGCTGGGTGGACACACCAACACCTACAAGGACACGGCGACTGGCGAGACTTTCGATTACGGCACCCAAGTTCTTGTCAATACCACCACCGTTCGACACTTGTTCGACTCCCTCAACATTCCCCTAGCTCCTTTCAAGCCTGGTGGCCAGCCCAAGGCAGTCGATTTCCGAAATTCGATCGTCGGGCTCTCATGGCCCGTCGTCGACGCTAATGCCTCTGCTGTAGCTCTGGATAAGTACCAGGCTCTCCTCACGCAGTACCCAGACGATTTCTTCCGTGGATACCACCTCCCTGACCCCGTTCCGGAGGACCTATTAATGCCTTGGGGTGACTTCCTGCGAAAATACGACGTGGGTGCGCTGGCATATGATGGCTTCTTGCAGTTCCAGGGCATGGGCAATATCCTGGCCCAACCTACCCTATACGTGATGAAGCTCTTCAATCCCATGCAAGTCTCAGCTCGCAAAGACAAGACCAAAGTCTCGCAAGCAAACCACGACCAGCAGGCGCTCTGGGATGCCGCAGAACAGAAACTCGGGATGGGCAACAGCTCTGTCGTGAAGTGTGCCAACATCAAATCTATCACACGCAGCCCGTCATGCGTCACCCTGGTCGTCCAGACCCCATCAGGCACCCAGACCATTCGCGCAAAGAAACTTCTTATGTCCATCCCACCTAAGGTCGCCCTCCTCAACCAGTTCTTGGACCTGAACACGGAGGAAACAGACCTTTTCTCTCGCTTCAACAGCAGCGGTTACTGGAATGCAGTCGTGGCCAACACTGGCTTCCCCGAGGGCGTCTCTCTCTACAACTACGACGCAAAAGCCGCCTTCGGCATCCCCGGTCTTCCAGGCGCATATTATTTCACCGCCGAAATCGACAATCTCTACTCAGTGCAGTACTCTACCCCAGAGGAAGCCTCGGACGATTACTTCACCTCTGATATCCTCGCCACGGTCCAGAGGATTCGCGAGGCCCTGGATCTGGCTCCTGCCAATCAATCTACCACGATAAAGGCTAGCAATAATCATTCCCCTTTCGCCTTGAGCGTCTCAGTGGATGAGATTAAGAACGGCTTTTACAAGCGTTTCGTGGCTCTGCAAGGCATGACGAATACGTTTTGGACGGGAGCGAATTGGGCTTCGGGGAGTTCGAGCACGATTTGGGACTTCACGGAGGTTGAGGTTTTGCCTGCTATTCTCAAGAGCTTGGAGTGAGCAAATGTGTTCGATAGTGTATGCGTTAATGCTGTAGTCTAGTATCTACGAACGCGTATATTATTTAGCTCGCGGGTTCGTCTTCAGAACACCGACTCTTCTGGTGCAGACCCAGCAGCGTTAATATCCCAACTGCCATAACCCACACGAATTGAAGTCATGGATCCATTAGTCCCAGTCCATGACCTTGGGCAAAGCTGGACTCGTCTCTTTTGTAGGCTATCCTTACCGTACAGATCAAAGAGGGACCATAGAGATATCCTGATTCTTGCCCGCCCTGGGCCGATCGCAGCAACGCTTCTACCAAGAGGTTGCGTATCTCTTGGCTCTATTGAACCCGCGGAGTACGCATTGGTTGGCGTGGGCGTTTTTGTGAGCGACTTGATATGCTCCTGCCCACAATAGGTCGCATCAGGTAGTAACCTCGTGTCTTTGGTCGCAAAGGCCCGAGAACAAATGTAGTTAAGAACGACGCATCCATTTCCCTCCCCAATATGTACCCAATCAGTCCCGTTTGTCTCAATCTCAATATACGACCCGTTCCTGATTCGGCCATCGCTGTTGGGCTGAAGGTTGTCAATCTCAGGCGCCAGGCTTTGCATAACAACGAGAGTAGAACAAGCGCAGAGAGTATGCTCATTGCTCTTCATGATGGAGTACACCAGTTCAAGACCCGAACAACCGTAATCGACTGTGATAGCATGTGTCTCAGAGCATAGCGCAAGTAGTGAGAAGATCCTATCTCTGGCAACGCTGCATCTCTTGTCACGGAATGTTAACAGAAGGCTTGCTAGAGGGTTTCCGACAATTTTTTGACTGCTAATGAGCGCGAAAACTCGACCGATTGCTTCATCTGTATTCCCAGGCAAGCCACGGAGCAATACCCGAAGCCTATGCATTGTGATCGTTAATGGCCCAATTGCAACGGCGATGCGGCGCGCAAGTTTGAGCTCTTGTGTGATCCATGCTCGGGTCCAATAGTCGTTGCCGAGTAGATCATTGTTTACTGCTCTTCTTGCCTCCCGCACGGGTGTTCTTTCCTTCCAAGTAGAAGGATGACTGTACCTCAGCTGTAGTTCTCCATGATAATGTAGAACTGTCTCTTTCGACGCAAGTCCCAGCCATGCAATGACCGTTTCGGCCCTGGAGTATATCCTCCCCATCTG